AAGTAGGTGTTCTGCCATTGTGGCACGTATTCCTTCAGAGGTCCGACAACCACTTTGGCAATGGGCACATGCTGTGCCACAAAGCCCAAAATTCGTTCGATTCGCGACTTACTGTACTTATCGTAAAATGGACTTCGTACGAGGAAGTACAAAAGATTAATGCAGCGCCGGCTTAGCTCCAATTTCTGCTGCTTGGACATCAAGTGGCGGTGCTGGCGATACAGATGTACGCTATATAAATCCATGGAAAGCGCTATTATGTACTGCTTCCAGCTGCGCTGCCCAAACAAGCCCATGGCCGCCAAATGGACGAGCGGCTTGGCTATGTACAAGTACTCCGCCTGCAGYAGTTCGCGYGGTATTTGTGTCTTGGCTGCATCCGCATTGTCCACATGCAATTTGAAGTCGCGATATTGAATGGGCGGTGCGCCCTCGACTTTGCGTATGAGGCGACCTGAACGCTTCAGCTTAAACGTTATGGAATGCTCCGACTGGGGCACACTGTCAGCTGCTGCGGCGTCGGCTTTGCGCTGCTTGCTCAGCGCACGTCGATTTACAGCTGCGATGGGCGGTGACGTGATTATGTCAGATGTGGAATGCTTCAGTAAAAATAAACGGCCAGCTGCCTTGCACACTTGTATGAGCGCTATCACCAGCCATTTGCCCGTTTGACCAAACAGGCGGCGCGCTGATATCTCGATAAACACTTCACAATATTCGAGCGTCGTSAGTGTGACCTTTAGACGGTAGCAGAGGCCGGACTGCAGCCGGAGTACGGCGTTCTCGTTGGCGCCACGTGCCTTTTCGATAATGCGATCGTTGTAGAACACCAGCATATTGGATAAGGTGTATACTAATTCGGAGAGGACATTGGAGTTCGATATGCGACCTAATAAAATCAGAAATTGCATCACCAATCCATAAAAAAATAAATTGTTTGCTTATAAATGTTAAAACTTTACCTGCCACAAAGTAGGAGACCCATTTGGCCGTTGTCTCAAAGTCGCCCACCACATCTGGATTTTTGGCCACCCATGCCTCGTAGGACTTAAGTAAGCCTTTTAGCTGGTCCATCATAGAAAGAAAAACACCTCGTCTATAGAGAAAACAAATTCAATTGCCGCTGCTTTGTTTCCTTCTATTGCAYTGAAAATACAACAAAACASWGTCATTCGCCCCGATGCAAGTATTTTCGATAAGTACCTAAGCTATCGAAATTACCATCGATATCTTTAACACCTTTGGCGCTATTCTTATAAGRAAACAYACAACTTGTGCTCTTTATCAAGTAAAACGTTTAATATATTTCAAATTTAAGCTTTAAAGTTATCCTTTTCYTTGCGCAAAGCTTCCATGGTGCCAATGGGATTTGCCGAAATGCCAGCATGATTCTGCACGGTAGCCTCATGMACGCGCATAAAAGGATTCCACAATTTCTCCTCGCCAATGGTCGATGGAACTGTTGGGTCTTTGGTTGCGCGGCGCAACTTGGCCCATTCAATGCGATTCTGTACATTTTTATTGTCCGGCTCCACATGACGAGCGAAACTCATGTTCTGCAGCGTATACTCATGGCCGCAAAAGACTTTTGTATCATCCGGCAAAGCCGAAAGCTTAGCACACAAAGCATCATACATCTCCTCCGGTGTGCCCTCAAARAAGCGACCACAGCCGCCTTGGAAGAGTGTGTCGCCAGTGAAAACTGCGCCAGCCTCATTGCTATTTGTAGCTGTGACATAATAGCAAATGTGGCCGCTGGTATGACAGGGAGTCGACAAGCAGCGCACCTTGAGGGTGCCAATGGTGAATGTTTCATCCTGGCAAACTTTGTGATTCATTGCTCCAATACGTTCATCACCGCCATAGACCTCCAGTTTACCATCCCACATCTTGACCAAGCGCTCATTGCCGCCAGCATGATCCCAGTGATGGTGAGTAGTCAGAACTTTGTTTAGCTTCACATTCGATTCTTTCACTGTCTTGATGACCAGCTCTGGATCCACGGGATCTACGACAGCTGCTTCTTTTGTCTTGCTATCCACAATCAGATACATATAGTTATCCTGTAGAGCAGGCAGGATTTTCACCTGCATGCTGTCCAGCGTGACATCTTCCAAAGAGCTATGCATGCCTCTTAATCCAACTGTTCTCAATTTTTGTACTGCGAAAAAATTAAATATATGTATATACATATATATGGATTAGTTATTGTAATCAAAGTGRCTGCATGCACATTAAACAGATAWATATGYTGATTAGATTAGGAGACAAAAAAAGATTACAATTGACGCGAGACAATAACGGGACAACCAGACACCGCTTTAATGATCCAGCACCAGCACCAGGGGACGCACTAACTGCAGCTCCGTGCGCAGTTAATTTGGACAAACCTCGAAAGTAGTAGGAAGTCAATTGGGTTTCAATGTTTCTCCAGACTGACGAAAACATTTAGGCGCTTCAATTTTGATTATCTTTTATTGCTCGTTAACCTAAGGCACAGGATGATGATGCTTATTTACAGTTAAATATGTATGTCACCAGGAAAGTGCCGGAACACTTGATAATATATATATAATGTATATGTRTAGWGTAGCTGTTTTTTTCCTACGAGCAGCTGTCACMTTCGAAGCTTCAACTACTTCGATGCCACAACTATCGATAAGTTATAGCTAAACGCAATATAGTGATGAAATGTAAACCGATTACTTTTTCAATTGGCGCGTTAAATTAAACACTTAATTTATTAAGCTTATTTAATGTGGAGGTTGTAGATATATAAAGTGTGATAAATTGAGCAATTTTTCAGAGAAAATCTATAAGATATCGTTTGAGCAATTAATTTTAAAGAAACTTTGAGTTCTAAGTGCTGTACTTCTCCATACGTATTGCAATTATTCTCAAGAAACAACAAGGCTTCCTATTGCCACACAAGCTGTGCTTCTTCAATCAGTTTCCTGTTTAGCATATTTGTTTTACTATATTCAATAACAAGCTGGGAATGTCTGATGCTGCTGAGATCAATTCGACGCAGTCGCATACCCAATTGATTGAAGTGCAGGTGCATCATGTGGGTGTTACAGCCAAATTGCAATCGCCTTTAAAGAAGTTACTGCCCCAGTTGAGCAG